TTGGTTTTTTTTTTTTTGCCCTGTTCAAGTTTAGTGTGATAATCAGATTGAGTCTTTCGACTCAGTCCTCTGATCCGGTCTGTGTGGCTGACTTGTAGAGATTATTCCCATCTTGGAAGGTAGGTTGATCTCAGCTGATTGATTGGTCTCACCCGCGTCGTTGAGGTGGTAGATCAGTTGTTTCATCTGATTTGCTGATCTAATTGATGGCCTGATCAGTTGGCCCGGGACTGGGTGGTGCGCCCTCCCCAGTAGATTGTGTCTTCAGGCCTGTCTGATTGGCTGTTTGGACCGCTGAATACACCTGCCTAACATGGGCAGATGCATATCCATGATCCGCGCTTGCAGCTCTACATCCGCTTACTTTTCTCTTCTTCTTCGCATCGCAGCTTGAATGGACTACGTATCAAATCAAATAGTGTGAATGAATCAGCGGGTAGAACATGAGAAGGTACACTGCCATGCTCTGTTCACAGTGGGCTCGCTTGATCGCTCACCATCCGGGAGGATTAAGAATGAACCTTCACCTAGTACATTAGAAGATACATAACCGTGCTCTCGCTGTACTATGTGCATGGTGGCTCGCGCGTCGGATTCTAGTCACCTGGTCTGTTGCCCGCTGATCGTCTCGCGTTGTAACTCACTAATGGGGAAAAATGGCATGGATCTCCCCCTGGAACGCGGGAAGATACACCGTCGTTTGCTTTGCCCCTTGCTATCTGCCCGTCAATTCATCAGGCACATATATAACAAAGAATCGTCAGCGGGAAAGAGGAAATCTGATAGCATTATTTAGGACTGGCTTCCGTGCTTGCTTGCGCACAGTCTCTCTCTCTCTCTCTCTCTCTCTCTCTCTCTCTCTCTCTCTCTCTCTCTCTCTCTCTCCACATCTATCTATCTGTTTGTCTGTGCAGTCTCTTTCTCTCTCTCACGTTCCCTCAGTCAACGCGCACTCTCTCACGCCCTCTCTTTCTCTCTCTCTATCTCCTTCTCTCACTCACTCTTTCTCACGTATTGAAGCACTGACCCTCCATATCTCCCACAATCAAGGGAACAAGTAACCTGCCAGCTGTCAGTACACATGCGTGATCACTGTTCTTCCCCATTGCTCACGCAAACGAAAGGGGACAATCACACACCAACTYTGCCTCAAGACTGTTGCTCTTACCATCTTCATCTGTCACCGCTGGTTGCTCACTACCGAGCAGGCTTGTTGCCGCACATAGAGCTTACGACTCGAAGAGGTGCGAGCAGAAGTTGACTGCGATCGGGCATGTCCTAGGAGCTCTGCGTACACCAAACACGTTTCAGGGAAAACACTCTTCCTCGAATATCCCACCATAGCCCATCGGTTGTTTCCCGCACAGCTTTGGCATGGGATCTGTCGCTCACATCTGCCAATAGGGGCATGCAAGCTCTGATCAAGAGGATGACTGATCTGATCATCGGCTGTAATGGTTGTTTGCTTGTCCAAGAGATTGTTTGGTCCAATCATCAGCCATAATGGCTGTTCGCTTGTCCCTGCCAGCGTCATCGCCATCGCTTTCCCCCCCCGCTGTCATCGCCATCGCAATCCCTATTCCCCCACCCGCCATCGCCATCGCCATCCCTGTTCTCCCTCCCGCCATCGCCATTGCCATCCCTGTTCCCCCCCCTGCCATCGCCATCGCCATCGCTTTGCCCCCTTCTCATCGCCCGCGATCTGCGTCGCCCTCCCATCCAGGTGTCCCCGCGGTCGATTCCCGATTGGAATCGATTACGTAATCGATCCCAATCAGGAACCGATGAGAAACACGTCTGGAGGGGGCAGTGATGCAGATCACTGCCCCCTCCAGGCACGTTTTCGATCGATTCCCGATTGGAATCGATTACGTATCTGCATCACTGCCCCCTCCATGCGTGTTTCTGATCGATTCCAGATTGAAATCGATTACGTAATCAATTCCAATCGGGAATCGATCGGAAACGCGCCTGGAGGGGGCAGTAATCTGCATCACTACCCCCTCCAGGCGCGTTTCTCATCGATTCCTGATTAGAATCGATTACGTAATCGATTCCAATCGGGAATCGATGAGAAATGCGCGTGGAGGGTGCAGTGATCTGCCTCACTACCCCCTGCAGGCGCATTTCTCATCGATTCCCGATTGGAATCGATTACGTAACCGATTCCAATCGGGAATCGATCGGAAATGCGCCTGGAGGGGCAGTGATGCAGGGGGCAGTGATCTGCATCACTGCCCCCTCTAGGCATGTTTCCAACCGATTCCTGATTGGAATCGATTACGTAATCGATTCCAATCGAGAATCGATCGGAAACGCGCCTGGACGAGGTACTGATCTGCATCGCTGCCCCCTCCAGGCGCGTTTCCGATCGATTCCCAATTGGAATCGATTATGTAATCGATTCCAATCAGGAATCGATGAGAAACGCAAGTGGAGGGTGTAGTGATCTGCCTCACTGCCCCCTGCAGGCGCATTTCTCATCGATTCCTGATTGGAATCGATTACGTAACCGATTCCAATCAGGAATCGACCCGTGGAGGCACCGCGACAGGGTAGTGGCACAGATCACTTTCCCCTGCAGGTGTCTCCGCGAGTCGTTTCCTTTTTGTTTTCAAGTTCCTTTTTTCTCTAAGTTCTGTTTTTTTTTTTTCGAAATTGACAAGGCTCCATTTGTTGGTGGGGAGCAACACCTGCTGTAAACGCTGTCTGGCGTCCCTGTGCAATACAATGTCACAGGTGTCCATGTCAGCTCATGGTCTGTTCTTGCGCATGTACAGCGGTCATTCTACTGCTATCCCCGACCTCCAAACTTGTTCTGTTGACCCAGTGGGTGCCTCCGATCCCCCTCCTCACCGCCCCCGTTGCTCCCCCGCCTCCCTCTGCTTTGTTGCCCTTCACTGCTCCCCTCCCTCTGGGGGGCCAATGAACGAACCAATGAGCCAATCAGCCAAACTATCAGTCAATCAATCAATTGCACCTCTCTCTTGCGTTTTTTTTTTTTTTTTTTTTTTTTTTAGTTGGATGAGGCAGTTCTTTCTATGTTTGTTTCTTTTTATAGATTCGTTCCTTTTGCCTCAGCAGATTGCCCGACTGGTTGTCTGTTCGGTGCAGTTGTCGTCTGTTATCTCTTGCGAAACGCTGATTTGTTTCTCTTTTTCCTTGGAAGGTGTTCTGCAATACGCTGGGTGCCTACGTCGCCTTCTACTACACCACTTTCATGACAAACCGCCAGATTTCTGGGGGTTTTCAGTCTCTACCCCTCCCTCCTGTATCTGGTGGTGGTGTCTTTCATCCTTCTGCGCAGATGGGTGTGCCTCGTAATGTGCCGCATCCTGTTGGCAGTGTTTTCCTGTCCTCTTCGCAAATGCCTGGTCCTGGTCTTGCTCCCATTCAGCAGACACCGGCGGTGTCCCAGGTGCGGTCTGCGGACACCGGTAGAGGACCTTCATACAGGTAATCTCATGAGGGGCCCTCGCGTCGACAACCCTTAGTGCTTCTCAATACAAGCATGGCTGCACCTAGGCGACACCCTGCGCAGTCCGTAGGACAGCAACAGCAGTCTCAAAAAAGGAAGAAAGCCATTGCTACTACGCTGCCTGTTGCAGACGACTGCACTCCAGAAGGGCGACGCAAAAAGGCTTGCAAGGGAAGTGGGGGATCTGGTGGTAAGGGAAAGAGATCCGCAGACACTACTACTGCTGTCGTGGATCTTGAACCAGAGTCTGCGGGAATGACGCCTCTTCAGAGGATGTGGAGCAGGCTTTTTACCTTGAATGCGAAGAAGGTAACTGAAGATATCTTAAGTTTGTCAATATCTTGTATGGACCGACCTCCTGTGGACACTGCCGATGGGCGAAGATCAAGGGAGGTCAGATTCCCTGCAGAGTACCATGTTAGGGTCCTCATGGCGTCTATGGAGAGGGCTCCCTGTGGGGACCACTTGCCTTGGGTGGGCATGATTGATCCTGCCGAGTGCACAACCATTGATCAGGTCGACCTGCAGAAACTTCGCTCAGGCTGCTACACCATCTGGATTTTGGGCGGCGGTCACTGTCGTGAGGCACGGAGCCGTTTGATAGTGAAGCACCCTCAGGTTGACTTCTGCAAGAGGAATGTCTGCTATGTGTATGTGAGACTTACTGTGGAGGAATCCCTGCTGATTGGCCATGAGCACAACAATGCTGCTGGGTATCACAAAAAGTTGACTTTTGTTCAGAGGATGCGCTGCTGGAGGGACGTGTTTGAGAGGATGGGGTGTGAGAAAACGAACGAGGCGAAAAAGGCATGCTTGGAGGCGCTCGGTATCCCAGCATTTTCATGAAACCAGATCGGTCCCCTGGATCCTCAACTTCAGATTTGCATGAGAGGACCAGAGGTGTGGGGCTTGCTCTCTGACATTTTCACTCTGTGGGAGCAGGCCAAGATCAAAGATGTGAAGATGAAGAAGGGCGTGGGTGGCAAGCAGGCCAGGTCTCTTGAGGTTGCTGAGTCAAGTGCATCTGGCAGCGAGGTGGGGAAAGGGAAAAAGGGTGGGAGGCCAGGGAAACGGAATACGAAGGATGTTTCCCAGGAACGCCTTGCTCTCATGGCGCTCAATCCTCTGATGTATGTGTCTGAGAAGAATGAGATAGTGAGTGAGCCTGCAAATATGCCTTACAAGCCTCTGTTGGGGATGGCTGGGCTTGTGATGCTTTGGTGATCCCTGTTCTCACAGAAGTTAAAAGCGGGGTCTTGTCGCCTGACGAGATGAACAACAAGTTCACGCTTTTCAAGATTCGTCAGAGGACAACGACTGCTTTCATGGAAGGGGTCGGGGCTTTTCAAGATTCGTCAGAGGACAACGACTGCTTACATTGCCAAGGCCCTCAACTATAGGGACAAGCTGCGCCTCTCACAGCAAGAGGAGCAAACTGCAGCAACACAAGATTGTGAGGGCTTCCTGACAAACTGGACTACTTTCGAGGGGGAGGGCTACAAGGGAACCGTGAAGGTGGCGCACTATGACATGCGTCAGCTACCTGACAAAGTGCAGGACAAACTCCCCTTCACCTTGTGCATTATGGACTTCCCTTGCGGCTACAACGCAGAGGGTTCTGTGGATGATGGGGAACCATTGAGTAAGCCCCGGATAGAGGGCAGCATTGCGAGCTTCAAGAAAATCACATGTGCACCCTATTGGGTCATTGCTGGATTATGCTCATCTAACATGCTCACTGATGTGAAATCCGCATTCTCAAGTGCTTGCAATTGTGGGGTGGAGGTGGGCATTTGGGTGGGTCCCAACGTTTCTACTTCTGCAGGTCTCAAGCTCACTAACTGCTGGCAGCATTGTGTTATTGGTTTTCATAGTGAGAGCGGCAGCAGGGAGCCCATTCAGTTTCAGTTCAGCGACTCTGACACCAGGATGACCTGCTGGAGTCACAATGCGGTGGTGAGGAAGTACACTTTTGCTGCAGACAACGAGATTTTGTGCTCCTACCAGAAACCCATTTCTTTGTATGAAGGGCTGATCAAGAAGTTTTCTGACCCGAATGACTCATACAAAGTAGATGCTTTCTCAGGATCGAAGACTGGAGCCATTGCAGCACTGTTGTCCAAGAGACATATGTTGGTCATTGAGAACGACCTGCGTTGTGTGAGGGGGATCAGGGCAAGGTTGGCAGGGAGAGGCTTCGTTGAGAGTGCCGCCAACTTCGCCAAGGAGATCGATACCCAGGGCCGCACAGTGGCAGAGGGTTGGCGGCGCGCTTGAGGCGTCGAGGCATGCATGAGTTGATGCGGACCCTCCACTCGGTCCACATAGATTTCATTGACTTGGCTGCGGCGTGCTTACTTTGCTATTGAGACATTGGTGTCTTTGCGGTGGTCGTGTTGTCTGTAGGCTATGTTCAATCATTAGTCTCTTGCTATGTATGAACTTGTTCCCCCATTGTTGCCTACTACATGGGAACCTGTCCACCTGCTCTTCGTGGTTTGCTTGGATGACTGTTGGCGCTCTGCATGATTGTTGGGACTTGCAGCATGGACGGCTTATTGCACGTTGTACTTGCAATGAACTGAAAAATTGGCAGCTCGATCAGCTCATCTGATTAATTAGTGTGTTGCTTGCTTGTGGGGTACCCTAATCCAAGTGTTGTCAATTGGGAATTGTTTTTTTTGCTCTTCTGTCCTTTCTAAAGTCCGACCACGTTTTGTTTCTTTTATGTTCTCGCGGTTGTGTTGCTTGACGACCTCAAATTTTTCAGAAAACTATTATGGTATTGAGGTCGTTTCTTCGGGTGCCTTCAATTTTTTTTAATAAATTGTTTCCTGCTTTGTTGCCAAGGTTAACGGATCACTGGGCTAACTGTGTTTTCGAAAAAAAACAATTTTTTGTGGTCTTGTTGTGGCACTTAAACCTGAGGTCAAAATCTTATCGTAAAAACTAGTTTTCTGAAAAACGTATAGCATAATTTGGCAAACTGGACTTTCGTTTCGGTCCAGTTTTCACGAAGTGAATGTTGAACATAAAAAAAAAAAAAAAAAAAAAAGATTCTCAGAAAACTTTGAAACAAATATATGTTATGTAAAATAACAATAAAACTAACTTTTGCCTTGGACTGATGTTCAAATTCATAGCCAGTCATGAGTTAAAAATCAAAAACCGATTTTTTATTTTTATTTTGTTTTTACGAAAAAAATTATGTTCGCCCGAACATGTTCGCGAGCTGTTCGCGCGAACACGTTCGCCGCGCTACGCAGGAACGAGGTAATTTCGTAATATCACAGAATGCTTTCTTGTCACTTTATCTTAAGAGAAGCGGGGTGGTGGTCTCGTATGAAGTCCGAGGGGGTTCCAAAGAATCGGTCATTCGGCGTACTTGTACCAGCGGTTCCCCTAGGATTAGAGCCCGCGTCCATTGGAAGTTTCTTTCTGTAAGGACGTCGAATGTTTTCGATACTTTCTGTCGGACTGGGTAGTGAATCAGTTGATGCACTTGTCCTGGATTACTGGGTCCGCTTCGTCCTCACTGTGAGAGGAGCTAATCGACAACTCAGATCTCTTTCCCCTTTGGTTAATTTCTTTGAGGGGTTCCCTCCAGGTGATCACACGGAGTGGTTCCCTGGCCCCGGGAATATTTTTCCAAGTCGTAGGCAGCGTAGTCTGAAGAGTTAAACGCATCGGGATAACGTACGGTTTCTCGCCCGTATTCTGAAGGATGATCGATCGCCCGTCGAATTCTAGATTGGTTCTTAGTGTGGTAAGGGTCGGCAATCCCCAAAAGGACATCGTACGCATTTACGTCCAATACCACGACATCTCCCAAGGTGTGGACTTTTCCTAATCGAAACGCAACATTCGGCATCCTTCCCACTACCTTGATCTTTTTTTCGTCAACGGAGACAAGGTGATCTCCCTCCGCTAACGAGATCATATCTTTTCTTCTTTCTGCCCTCTCCACGACCCTCAAAGAAATGGTCAGGACTGCGGCCCCTGACTCCATAATAGCATTGTATTGAATTTCCCAGACTTCTATATCGCATTCTGAGGATTCTCACGGAATGACCTTAATGCGCAGAAAATGATCGTCTTTTTGGATTAGTCCTAATGGTATCAGGCCCGAGGTGCTAGGGACATCAGGCTTGTCTTCGCAGGCAGGGGCTTTCCCTTTTATGGTTGCCTGCTTAGCAAGGGCAAACCGTTTCCGGTTCGCCTTGCAATGATGCAGCATCCGTTGATTCGCCTGTTCCGAACAGGTGTCCAATGGGCAAGGGAATTCTATGGCCCAGGGCTCGAATGATGTTCAGGACATCAATTTCTCCTATAACAAAGGTGGGACCGCCCGATTCCATTTCTCCAGGAGAAGGTTTCCACTCCGTTATTTCACGTTGTCCGTTCGCGGGGCGGATGGTTCCGATCATTCTCAATCCCGAGTAACCCAGTGAGATGTATCGATCGAGTGGGATAAGTTCCGCAGCTTCCTCGGTAGTGACTATCACACTCCCCCTCCCTCTATCTCCTCCACCATCGTGCCCACCCTTCCTCGTGCGTTGGCCACAGGTGTTGCTGCCACTGGGGCTACTACCAGCCGGACTTGCGTCGGACGGTTAGGGCAGTCTCGGGCTATGTGGCCGGGCTGGTGACACGTGTAACAGACGCCTAGATTAGCCACCGCATCACCCACAACTTGAGCGGGGTCTTCTCCTTGTGCTATAGGTGCGGCTCGGGCGGCGATGGGGCGCATCGACCTCATCAAAGATTCTATCCGAGCATTATGCTCGCGATATTCTTTCTTGCTTTCTTGCTTCAAGCTAACTAGTGTTCGAGTTAGTTCCAGTATGGCGTTTGATTCGCTTTGCTTCGTAGAGGTGTCTGAGGGAGGCGTAGGTGTGACCATCACAGGCAGTCCCGTGGTTGTGTCCGATATCGATCTCTTAGCTACAACTTGTTCTAGATAAGTGACGGGGCCGGAGACGAAGTCCATGTTCTCAAATTTGTTTGAAGCGCGTCTAACTCGGCTTTCGCTCTGGCCAATTCTGAGGAGTCCCCTTCCTCGGCATGGTCTTCCCCTTCTAGGAAGTAAGCGGCAAACTTTCGCTCCATTTCCTCCGCAGCATCCATGATCTGTTGCATGGTGTGATTGATTGGGGAGAACTGCTTTCGCAATTTCACCGTTATTGCTAACTATGAAGCCCATCGATAAACAAATCCCTCCCGACCTCCTCGCCTCGCTCTGACTTGACACACAACCTATATAACCTACTGCAATATTCAGTGACAGGCTCGAGGGGCTTCTGAACTCGTTTCTTAATCATGAAGAAGGCCTATTCAGAGTGGATATAGTCAAATCGGTTTACGAAGTCTCTCTCGAAGGTCGGGAGATCTACCCAGGCATAAGTGTTGAACCAGTGGTGCGCATCCCCTCCCAACCGGATGGGGATGTTGATCCCAGCTTCGTCATTATCGTATTGCTAGGCTCGCAGCGTGGCTCACCATGCTCCGGCCAGATAATGGTCGGGATCGAAAAGGTACAGATCGGGCGGGGTCGCAGATGCGTGAGCTCGAGGATTAGGACCTCCTCCTTGCAGCGCATTGGCATTTGGTGCTGGATTGGGGTTCATGGCGGCCCGTCGACCTGCCGATCTACTCCTGGTTACTATAGGGTCGCGTCATGGCGCGTTCCTCTGCCTAGGCCGCCCTCTGTTTGCCAGATCGTTCCTTGTATCCTATCTGATTCACAATCCCTAGGCCTGGCACGTGTCGGCTCCGATATCAACCTCACGCCCGGCGCGTCTTCCTGATCGGAGTGGGAGTGGGCCAACAAAAAAAATTCCCAGAATTAAATAATCATTCTATAGTAAAATTACGATTTAAATTTAATTTCTATTTCATCTTTAAAAATATCATTCCAATTTTAATTTTTTTTATCTTACTTGCAAACTTTCATTCCAAGAATAGGGTATCCCTTCTTATTTTGACTGCTTGTTAGAGATGGAATGAAAGTCTGGATGGGTTCATGAAATATTTTAACTGGACTGTTATTCTAAGTAGAGACTTTCAGTCATACATATGTAAATCCAATCTAAATTATAAGATATTTGTTGTAGTAGAATGAAAATTTAATTAAAACATTTCATAAACTCGTCCAGACTTTCATTCCATCTTGAACAAATAGATCTAGTGCGAAGGGAAAACTCAAATTTAGACGGGAACTTATCAAATAAAACTGTAAATTTTAGAATTGGACGAACATTGGAATGATAATTTATAAATATGAAGGATTTTTTCTTAATGGAATGTTTTTTCAACTTTCATTTCTTGTGGGAATTTTTCTGTTGGCCTGGAAGTGCGAAAAGGGGGTGTACCAAGGATTTTAGGAAAGTGGGGGTGGAGTCCCAGGTCGGAACTGAGATCTCCGGTGACAAGTTTCAGGGATACGAATGCAAGAGGATAGGCACAAATCGGAGTCATGTTTATGCTTCGGAAAGCAGAGCTACCGCCTCCGTTGGTTCCGTCGTCTGGGTCGGATTCGTATCTGGTGCACCACCGGGACGCTATGGCTATCCCGTTGGCTGGTCACCTGTTGATGTCGAACGTCGCAAGTTTCAGAATCCGACACGGCCGGCCTCAATCGAAGGTTGTGCGCCCGTCGTTCTTCCTTCGAGCCAGTTCGCCAGATGAAGTTGGAGGCTCGGTATTTGTGGTCCTGCAGATACTCTGAGCACGGGGGTTGGGGCCAGTAAGGAGCGATTGCGCGCCAGGGGATGATGGTTAGGGAGTGATAGGGTAGGATGCAGTGATAGGGAGGGAATTCGGTCCCCAGGAATTCCTGATCGATGTCCCACTCGCAACCGCGTTCGTTCCCCGTTAAGTAGAGAAATTTCGGAGGTTCCGCCCTTGATCATGCAGACAAACAAGAGTGTTCCCATTATTCCCGGAATTCCCGATCCGTCAAGCACTCGATGTCAGTGATATGAAAGGGGATTTCAATATTCATACTGCAAGGCGGGGTGGAAAGCCAGCCATTCGGGAAGTTGTGTCGAGTATAGGTTTTGCAGACACGCGTGTAAGTAGTGAACTTCTTCCGTTGGGCCTACACGTGCGTGCACAAGACCTGTCCTTCGGTCAGGTGGATGAAGGCCAACAAATCACAAGGTGGATAATCCTATAGTGAGACAGACATCTAATCATCTAGCATGCTTATCTAATCCGTACACAGACAGAAACACACCAAACATCCTTGCATCCAGCTTCACACACACACACACACACAAAGAAACAAAAGGAATCGATGATTCTTATGCAACTGTTACAATTATTTGCCCATCGTTCCGAAGATCACACAAGATTCGATCGCAGA